GAGTGTTGCCAGGAGGCTCTCCTCGAATTCCTGGTGGAAGAATTCGGCTCATATCCACCAACCTCTCTGGTTTTCCCAGACCTCACTAACCATTCCTAAAGCGGGGGTCGGGGAGGGGGGGGGCACATCACTTAGCAATAAAGCATAAGAAAACGCCAAGTGCAAAATTTTGCTAACAGGTTTTAATCAACAAAGCTATTTGACTGACACTCCGCCTGCCAAAACCAATTATTAGTTTCGTTTTTATATACACAGTAATACGAAAAACTTCTACAAAAAGAAATAAAACAAAATAAAAAGGAGGAGCTGGGATGGGGCACAGTGGCGTCTGAAGCCATTACCAACCACACATGGAGCCGCACGCATATAAACACCAGAAGAGGCTTCATCACTGCATTTGCAGCCATCAGAAACCACAGCTAATAAAATTAAAATCCACACAGTTTTAGTTCTCAGGAGCAAAATTGTACAAACTACCGCCAACTTGACAATATTAGTACCAGTCAGGGCCACTGTGCACTTTTAAAAATGAAATTCAATGTTTTTTAATACCCTTTTCAAGCTCTTCACAGCAGAGCAAGCCCAAATGACCTCTAATATGTCCTGTGTCACTGGTTCTTTTATTCAAACGGATCGACGCAGGAATCCGACACGAACCCTCACCCCCGGCAACAGCTCTCTTTTAACGAAGAGAGCGACAGCAAATCTCTCGCTGGGGGTGGCGTCATCTCCACGCAGGCGAGTGGCTTGGCGTACGATGAACTAGGGAGCGGCATTTTAAAAACCGAGCGTGCTTGGAGTCAGACTCATACCATTGCCAGTGACTTATACCGTATTTACCACAGCAATATTATTTTTTTGTCCGTCTTGTTGTATTCATTTCTTATCCTTTGTTGTATTTCCTCTTTGCGTTACTATTTGCGGAGAAATGAATTTCCCCCCACAGGGATAAGTAAAGTTCTGTCTTGCCTTATCTTTGGGGAAGCCAAGGCACTTGGGGTGTCAGAATATCTGAGGACGAACAGCGACTGAACGTCACCTGGAGGTGAGATATTGCTGTACCCTGAGGCCAGCAGGAGCGGCAGCAGACGACCCAGAGTAACATCTTCTAACTCTCACATCACACTGAGGCCTCTCCGATGGTCGTGGGAGTTTTAGTTACACAAAAATGTTCTGGGGGTAGAACAAAAAATGATTGGTTCAAAGAGAAAACCAATCAGAATGTAGAGAAGGTGGGTCCAAGCAACTAGAGGAGGCAGGACAAAGACACCTGACTGGTTGATCCCTCTTTCTCTATTGCTTGGGCCCACCTCTTCTACAATCTAATTGGTTGTTTCCCTGAACCAACCATGTTTTTTTGTTCTGCCCTCAGAATATTTTTGTGTAACTAAAACTCCCATGAGCCTCTCCAAATTCATGTGACAATTGGCCTTGTGACACATTCCATATCCGGGCTCTTTGAAAGCAACTGGTCCCAGTGCTCCTCAACTCCCCTGTCTCTGTCGAATTGAATTTTCTTTTCCTTGCATCCCGCCCCCTCAAAAATAAGGATGTGAAATGACAAAATAGGAGCAGCACAGAGCATACGCAGAAAAGCAGGAGAAGTCAGCAGCGCAACAACTGAATTATACATCTGATTATGTAATAAGTCATGGTCTGTTATATAGGCATGATTACTCAGTGGGTCTGCAGAATTTAATCCCCAATAGCTAAAGAAGGCATTTTCAGACATTTTATTGCCTTAAATTTTGAAAATCTATTTTAACGTTTCAAGGATCCATGGAAAGCAGAGTGTGAGAGCAGAGGCAGAGCTGGGATGCAGGTCCAGATGGGGCAAGTGTCAGTGAGTCTCTGCTTCAGGCTACCCACAGCCCCCCCCCCCCCCAAGCCCACAAAGGTCCCCTGGCGGCAAGTTCAAGGATGACAGCAGACACAGGACAGGCGAGAGGTGTGTCCTCGTGGGACAGTCATGTCTGCGTTACAATGTGTAAAAGAGCAGGGCAACTGCAGTGACCTGCGACTCATCCTGAGGCAGAGAGGTGCCAGTGTGTGGAGGCTGTCTGTGGAGAAGGGCACAGGGGCTCACAGCACACCCCCGCACTGCATGCGCCTCACACTGCATGCGCCAAAGCGCAGTACTCTGGTCCCCAGGCTATGCGGTAATTGTGCAGAAGCCACATTAGCGGCTTTTTATCTCCGAAGCAGCGGAGTGGAAACACTTAACGGGGATTCGCTGAGTCTGTTTGCAGCAGCACGCTCGCCCCCCACCCCCCCATGAGGCTCAGCGCTGAAACTAAGGAAATGCAAAAGAATCGCCGTTGCTCATTCTCCCCGCCCATGTTTCCTCACAGACTGGAAGTGGCAGCTGCGGTCTGTCTCACAGAGAGCCGCTTGTGGTGACATAGCGGCAGTGAGACGCGCGTTCCCGCTCGTGGTGACATAGCGGCAGAGAGACGCGCGTTCCCGCTCGTGGTGACATAGCGGCAGAGAGACGCGCGTTCCCGCTCG